CTGCCTCAGAATGTACATCCCTTTCCCCCAAGCCCAAGATCTTCGAATGGCTGGCTTTTCTTCATTCTGGTCCAGCTCATCTGTCATTACTTCAGGTCTTTCCTGACCACTGAGACTTACAGTTACCCCTCGAGCCCCTCCCTCACAGGCAGCCCATCTCTCTATCTTGTTTTATTTTCCTCATAACACTTACCATAGTATGCTTACTGTTTGTCTAGACTAGACATGAGAGCAGTGTTTTATTTTTAGGGATACAGGTGCTCAAAAAAATAATCAAGTGAATGAATGGGTAGTGTTATGGAACCAAGTTGAGCAAATTGGTTATACAAATGGCTTTCTGGGTAGAAGCTCAGTAAGGAATGGCTTTCTGGGTAGAAGCTCAGTAAGGAATGCTGCTTTTGGAAACAGCTTCAGCCAAAGCTATTAAGGTCAGCCTGGGGAAGTTAATCAGAAGCGAAAAGCATATATGAAGTGTCTAGCCTCTTAAAAAGGACTTTCAAAATTAGGAAATGTCCAAATTAACACCTTCCTAACCTGATATCTTCAAAAATGAGGATCTTGGGGAATACCTAACGTCATTAATAGGAGTTCTACTTAAATTCCACTTAAAGTAATGGAATAAAATTACCTCTAGACCTTATAATAACATACGAAAGGCCAACTTTTATTTAAAAAAAATAGATTCTACACCTCCATAAATCACATATTACTTAGAAATAGTCTAGCTCTCTAGAACTTTTAATGTAATTCTAAATGCCACTAAAGACTTGAATATTATAATTTCACTGTCTAGTGTTAAAAATATTTAACTTTATTATTTTGTTTATGACTAATTTCTCCTTGTAAAATATTTATGTCATTACTATTTACTCATCAAGGTTTGAGTCATTATAATGAAAAAGATCAAACCTGTTAGAGTGCAGAGAGGTCAGGTGATTCCTGCTTGGCAAACTTAGATGATTTTTTAAAAAGAGCACATAAAAGGAAAAAATATATATGCATGCATTTATTGCTGGATTTGGGAAACTTTCATTATTATGAAAACTGTTACCTCGATATTTCTTTCAAACTAATTCTTATCCCTATTTATTTTTTAATTGCATATTTTTTCTCCTACGTTTGAGAAAGTACAGTCGATTTACAAGGCCACTGAACATTTAGTTGCCTTTTGAAAATAAACTTAATTTTAATGGTCTTATGTAATACTATGTTAACAGTTAAACTGTCTAATAACTGGTCATCTACCTGGCATTCTCAGTAGCTCCATGGAAATTTAATTCTGTAATGTTTAGCTCAGCATCTACCTATTCATGCTTCTTATATTAACAATAGCTTTTTTTTTAAGTTGGCTCTATGTAAAAACACACCTATCAGACTATTTTTGAAATAGTACATATAAAATACCTTGCCTGAGCTTCCCACTCTGTACAAGTTGTTGGACTCCTCACCCTTCTTCCCTAGTATTTTAGTTCAGTTGTATGCTGTACTTCAAAGTACAGAAGAGAGGAAATATATTGTTTATTCAGTATAGGTGACAAAAAGTGGAAGAGAATCAAATATTCTATTTTTTCTGAGCACAGTCATAATAATCACAGTATGCTAGGAAATCGAAACAATGAATGTATGGGTTTAGTTCTCTTCAGGAAAAATTTTAAGCTCTGGTTACTGTCACATAGCTGAAACAGTAATATTACCCAAATTAGATTAGTGGTAAAAAAAAAAATCTAAATGATAAGAAAGTAGACAGTGATTAGGATAACATACATTTCTATTAATTCCTTTATTTACCTACAAAGTGCTGTTTTGGATATAACAATGAACAAAACTGACAAAACGCCTTGTCCTTATGGAGCTTACATTTTCATGAGAAAAACAACAAGCAAAACAAATTCATTTTAGCAACAAATGCTATGAAAAAAACCATAAAGCAAAGAAAACAGATACATGAAGATGTAGTTTTAAATAAGAAAATACTGTACACATGACCACATATGTACTCATTATTTGAGATATTGTAGATAGATAAAATGTTTAAATATAAAAAACAATTGAGTTATTTGACCTCATATTTATATTTACTTATAAATTATACACCTATAGTACTATTACTTCTCTAAGTAAATTTCAGTAGAGCTTATTGTTTTAGATAAAAATGAATATTATTTAGAAGTTTTAATTTTTTTTCCTACATATCACAAGAAGGAAAGTTTTCACAATGAGTGAGAATGATTATTTTATGATGATGACAACAGTAGGTAATTCTTACTTTGGCTGTACTGTGTGCCCAGTATTGATCCCAGTGATTCACATATGTTAATTTAGTAATCATAGTTTGGTAGGTACTTATCACTCTCTCCATTTTATAGTTGCAGAAGCTAGTCACAGAGAGGTTAACTACCTTGTCCAAGATCATGCAGAAAGTAAAACCAGAGCTAAGATTAAAAATGCAGTCCATTTAGATCCAGAACTAGCACTTTTAACTATTACATATCATTACATATTGCTCATACTAGATGTGAAGAGGAGGAAGATAAGTATACCGGCCATAGAGTAAGCATTAAGAAACTACCTAAAAATCACAAGTGAAAAGATTTAAGAAAATCATATACAGAATATTTTAAATCATCTGTATAATATACCACAAATAACTTTTTAAATCATCTATATAAATGTACCACAAATAACTTCCCCACCAACAAATGAGAAGACACATATGGCAGATCAAGAACTAATTTCCTTATAGTGCAAAGAACTCTTACAAACCAATTAAAAAAGGATTACTAATCCAGTAAAAACATGGACAAAAAACATGAATACGCAAGTCAAAGATAAAGAAATACATAAACCAAAACATGAAAAGATACTTAGTGTCTTCTCATTTGCATATTCAGATATGCAGTTTTAAGAAGTGAGTCTAGATAAATCATTAAATTTAATAATGTCTAATGGGGAGATAGAGTTGTAGAACTAATTAGACTTGGCAAGCTGGCAGCTGATAGGTGTGCATGGGAGCTGTGGGTTGAGAGCATGCAGCCAAGTTTCCATGAGAGAATTAAGCCCTGCAGAAAATCATTCGGGTGACTATTTTCTCAGTTTTCTCCGGGGTGTTTGTAGCTAGTACATTTTCGTTGTATCAGTGAGAAGTTAATTCATTACATACAATGGATGCCTTAGGGCATTAACGTTCTCTCTTGGAACTTCTCTTGAGAGGGCTTGATTATTAGGATTGGAAATAAAGCCAGTCCACCTAAGAGACTTCTCAGCAGAAGCCCACAGAGAATTTTTTGACAACAGTATAAAGAAGATAAAGGAAAAAAATTTAGGGACCAACAGGAGTTATAAGATTCAAGTGTGGTCAGTGTTCATTCTTATTATAGGTTAATTTTCAAGAATTCACCTGTGTCTTACTTAATGCAATTTAAAAATCCACATGCAAATATTCAATTACTTGATGCATAAAAATGTTAGAATTTAAGATTTGATTATTTCACTAAATAAAAAATTTATGCTATAGCAAGAAAATAGTCTCCACCATACTATTTGTAAACCTTACTATGCATTTTATTTCCAGGGAACCTTTTATTATATTATCAGGAGGTTTGTCATATGATACTGTAGGAAGAAGACCTTGCCTCACAGTTATGCATGGGAAAAGTACTGCTGTACTAGAAATGGACTATTCAATTGTTGATTTTCTAACACTGTGTGAAACACCGTACCCCAATGGTAAGCTCTGCACCTTTAAAACTCACTCACTCTCTATAGATGTCCATTATACAGAACAAAGAATATGTTACCTGAGTAGTTTCCTTGTGCTCATTCTTCTGGGAGGAGATGCTGCCTTCATAACTTCGCAGATTTTATTTCAGAAGTTAATTTTGTTTAATACACTTTATCTGTTTAATATTATATTTTAGTAGTAAGTGCCTTTGAAAGATTGAACTATCCACATCAAGAAACATTTTAAAATTCTGTAAAATACTAATGTATTAGTCAAGGTTCTCCAGAAAAACACAACCCCTGGTAGATAGATCTAGATAGAATTTAAGGACTTGGTTCATGCAATTGTGGGAACTGATAAATATAAAATTTATAAAGCAGTCCTACAGACTGAAAATTCAAGGAAGAGTTGATGTCACAGTCTTCAGTCTCAATTCTTAAGGGTGGAAACTCAGGCAGGTTTCTGTGTTGGCTTCTTGAGGCAGAATTGCTTCTTTTTCAGAAAAACCTCAGTCTTTGCTCTTTGGGCAAAGATGGGTTGATTGGATGGGGCCCAACCACATTATCTAGGAAAATCTGCTTTACTCATCATCTATGGATTTAACTGTCAATCACATCTAAAACATACCTTCACAGCAATAGCTAGACTTGTGTTTGACCAAACTTGGCACCATGGTCTAACCAACTTGACACATAAAATTAACCATCACAACTAGCATTTAGTATTTCATGAAGAATTTAAATCTGGATCTTTCTTCATTTGAAGCTAATTGAGATGTAAAGATTTCATGTATTTTGTAATTAGCAGGAACATATAAAATAACTAAAAAAGAGATTGTAATATTATAATAGTACTCCGTTGAGTTCCTATGAGCTCCAATAATGAATGAGAGTTGTTCTTACGGCTATTCAGATTTAAAATTTGGGTTGTTCATGTTTTAAAATTTTGGGTTGTTCATGTAAGACAAGAAGCTCACAGAAGCTACTGTGAGCTTCTTGTCTTACTTATGTTTGTAAAACTGAAATAGTTTTGTAAGAGTTATTATATACATTTATCTCATTTAAAACATACTAGCCTTAAATTATATGAAGTGCAAGATGAGATTAAATACTTGAAAGAATGGAACAAAATAAAATGAAAACCAAGCAAAAAAAGTTCATTTAATTTGCTGTCCTCTTGCATATTTTAAACAGTTGTTCATATATTATTTTCCAATTCCAGATTTTCAAGAACCATATGCTGTGGTTGTTCTTCTAGAAAAGGATTTAGTACTTATAGATCTTGCACAAAATGGGTAAGAAATAAAAATTAGTAGGCGATTATTTTCATATGTGGTGAAAAAGTATTCTTTTTAGCATAGGGTGGGCAGTTTCATTTCTTAGAAAACGCTGTGTTTATATCTATAACCTTGACCTCTTTTTAGAGTTCCAGGTGCACATTTCTGATTACCTGCAAAAGTTCTCTATTATGCTGATCAAATAGAATTTCTATTTTTTAGGTCAAATTTTGTGGAATTTCTGAAATTTTATGTGATTCAACCTGATACTTGCAAGATACCCTTGGGGCACACAAAATCAGCAGGCCCAAAGTCGATCCCATCACAGTTTACCTGTAGACGAGCTGTTGTAGTTTCTCCAGCAAATTCTCTCTGTCGTAGTGTGTCGTGAATACCATTGTCAGATTAATTTTACATATAGCACCAATCTTGTTTCGCTCCTTAAACTGCTCTCGTTC